CATCAATTCCACAATTAAATCAAAATAATTAGAATAATATGCAATTCAAATTCAAATCTCCTTAATTAATTAAATGCAAAATTTTATACATTGTGGGGTTGTCATAAAGCCTCACTCCACACAAATCTAACTTCTTTCCTTGTCAATCTAGTCAATAGTGAAGCCAGTCTAAAGAAATCCTTTACAAAACGTTGGTAATACTTATTGAACCCCAAGAAACTCCAGATCTCAAAGGCATTCTTAGGTTGCTCCTAGTCCTTTATAGTGTCTAGTTTAGATGAATCTACAGTCACCCCTCCCTCAGACACCACATGGCATAGAAATTTAACTTCACTGAGCCAAAACTCACACTTCTCAAACTTAGCACAAAGACGGTGTGCTTTAAGCAACTTAAGTACAACCTGCAAGTGTTCATTGTGTTCCTTTTCGGAGGGTAAGTAGACTAAGATGTCGTCAATAAAGACAACTAGGAAATGATCAAAGAATTGATGGAAGACTTAATTTATCAAGAACATAAATGAAGCCGATGTATTAGTTAGCCCAAAAGGCATTACTAAGAACTCATAATGGCCATACCACATATGAAATGTCATTTTCTGAATGTCCTTATTCTTCACCCTCAACTGGTGATACCTCAATCTCAAATCGATCTTCGAAAAGCAACGAGATCCCTTTAGAAAGTCAAACAAGTCATTAATTCTTGGCAATGGATACTTGTTCTTAACAGTTACTCGATTCAACTTACTGTAGTTAATACACAATCGCCACTTGCCATTATTCTTCTTTGCAAAGAAAGTTGGTGCTCCCCAAGCCAAGGTACTAGGGAGAATGAAGCCCTTATCTAATAAATCAGGGAGCTACACCTTCAACTCACAAAACTCGACTAGCACAAACCTATAAGGTGCCATGAAAATCAAAGCTGTGCTTGGCGCCAAATTGATAGAGAACTCAATCTTTCTATGTAGTGGTAAGTCGGTAAGATCCTCCAAAAAAACATATGGATATTCTTGAACTACTCTCGACAAGTCACCCCAAACTGTACTACCTTCAATAGCTACCGAGATGGCAAAAATAAAATTTAACTCTCATCGACCTTTAAGGTCATTCAATGGAGGAATATAACGATTACCCCGGTCACACAAGAAGTAGAAACACTCTCCTGATGGTGTATACATCAACACTCTCCTACGATGGCAATCTATTGAAGCCTGAAAATAAGTCAACCAATCTATACCCAAAATCACATAAAAAAACATGCATATCAAGAACAACAAAATCAAAAGAGAGTTCACAATTTGCGACCTCAACCTCACAGGAGTGGCATACTTGACCTAATGCCACTTTACCCCCTATAGGTGTCTCAACTAACAAAGGAAACTCTAACTGATCAAACTTCAACACCAAAGTAGATGTACAAGAAGATGAAATGGAGGAATGAGATGTACCCATATCAATCAACACATTGTTTAAACAATTGAATAGAAAAAGTTACCTCTCATAACAGGAGGTACCAGAAACTCCTCTGGCATGGTAGTAGCATACACGCCCTAGTGGCCTCTAATCTACTTGCTCACCCCTCGGAGCATAAGTCTGATGAATGGACTGAGCAAAAATGGCTACTTGATTGGCCCTCGAGGCCTGAGCTAGCTGTGTCGGCTAGTGGCTCTTAGTCTGCCTTGAACTAGATGCACCATGTAAGAACCCGAATATGAAAATAAATTAATTAAATAATAATAATTTTACAAATCCCAAATACTTTGTTTGTAAATCTTTAAGTGCAAATTAAATTTTATTGGAGGGTCTTTTAATTAATTTTTAAACCTAAAATAAATTTATTGTTAAATAATAAAAAAATATTGAGGGCAAGTTAGTAAGTATATTTTGTTATAATAATAGTTATATTTTATTTAATTAATGTGTTAGAAAATAACGTGATATAAAGATAATATTTTAGGGCATTTTTGGGTAGATACATATGTAACCCTAGGTTGCATCATACTATTCATAACAGCAGCAGGAGCCACCACGGGAGAGAGAGAAGGGCTGAGAGAAAAGAAGAAGAGAAAAGGAGGGTTGCAAACAAGGAGGAATTTTTGGGTGTAGTGGGTCTTTATCTTTCTTCTTCCTTTTGGTTTTGTTTTTATCCTTATTCTATTATTATTTTATTCATTCATGGAGGTTGTAGGTTTATATATTATATATATATATATATATATTGTTAAGAAATTTGAGGAGTTAAATTCATGTATAACGAATGGGTATTATTCTTAGTTAAAAAATTCTGCACATAATCACGAACTTTAAAAATCAAGAAACCATGTCAAACGGATGAATTTTGAACTGATATTTTTACAGTAGATCAATTACATATTGAATTACATATCTGAATTTTTTTATAATTTTTGGGAGTCAAAATCCATATAAATTGAGGTATTCAAATCTGTCCAAGAAACCAGTCCGAAACAGTAAATTCGGGAGTGTTGTTCTCTTTGGGTATAAATCCAAAAATTATCAAATTAGTGTTATTAGAACCGGTTACGAGTCTAGTTTCATACGTTTTTAGCCTTGCATTGATTTCTCGTGTATATTAAGAGAACCGTCAATTTCTTTAAAATGTTGCAGAAAACAACCTGTTTGGATATAATAAATTGTAGTTAATTACTTTGATAAGAAAAGCAAGTGAAACCAATTGGATTTGGAACTTAGGATATATTAGTTGACATCTGGAGGGTTTTATAATTTTTCGAACAACGTGGAGTGGGTTTTTAATTTTCAAAGTTAGCGAATAGATTGGAAAAACTTTGTTTTATCTTAAAGTCACTTTTAGTTAAGTTTCGATCAGAACCTATGTCTTGGGTGATTTTAAACCTTGAAGAACATGAACTTAGGTAATATTTAAGACTAACGGTGAGTTGGGTTGAGCCGTGTTAGTGCGCTTTAGTTGAGGTTACTTAGTTCCTATTTTTTAGTATTTTTAAATTAGTTGTGACGTGTAGTTTTTATACTTGGCTCAGGGCACTAGTTGGACTTTTACAGTCTAGGCGAGGATTATATTATTTCGTTTTCAAGTAAGTAGTTTCATGCTACATATTTTTATAAATGTTCTCCTACCTTGAACTGTTGAAAAATTAAATTGTTGTTTCAAGACCAAACTGTTTTGATAAATTATTATATTATCAATGGAATCAAATTATTTCTGAAACATGTGTGAACTTGGCATACTGTAAACTATTTGTTTTTGTCTCACGTTTATAATGATGAACTACCATGTTTTGCGAAACTAATGTGTATTGATTATTGGGACCATGTGTATATTTAGTCCAGGGAAATTATTTCACTGTGTGTAGTGACTCTGGCAACTAGAGAGCATATCCGGGTTGGGCCGTAATGACTCTAGTGCTCAACGATTGTAAGAAAAAGACCTTTAAAAAAAGCTAGGTGACCTTCAATCGGATCGTCTTTGAGAAAAGGCCCAGGTGCCACCCTGAAGATGACTCTTAGTTCGGTATTGGATCCAACGGGGCTTATAGCCTTGAGAACTGTGTGGCATATTATTTGTTTTTCTTGGTACTCAGAAAATTATTGGTGTTCATGTTATAATCTGTTTTAAGTGGAAAATGTCGTTTATAATGTTCTTGCGAGACATGAATATTTTAAGTGTTGAACTGTGGAACATTCTTTTTGAAACAGATTATATTTACCAAACAGTATGCCAATCTATTTTCTGTGATATATATCTTATTTTGGAATTGAACCCTGTTTTCAAAACTGCATTTACTATCCATGTTGCTACTCACTGAGCTATCAGCTGACTTAGTTGTTATCATTTCCAGGTGTTAGAAGGACTTAGAGTGAACTCATGGCGTAGCGGGGACTCAATTGTATGGACCTCTAGGGCATTTATTTAATTTGTTTTAGGTTGTTTTGTCAAGTTTTGTGCATACATTGTGGTTGGGTGTTATTTAGAATTATTTTATTTTGTGGACGGTTTGTGTTCAATTTAGTATATATATATATATTTTTAGTAAGTTGGTTATGACTTGTTTTTCACTTGTGGTATGTCACTAGATTGAGTGTTGAATTATTTATTTCTAGGCTATCATCACATTTATTCTTTATGGTTTTGGGTTCATGTTTAGGCTTACGTGTGCCTTGGGCTAAGTCCTTGTGGGCCACGGCCGGTCATTCCTGGATTTGGGGTGTGACACACTATATGTGCCACCCGATTAAGGGCAAAACCTCATCAAATACCCAATCGATCCACACTAATAACAAGTAGGTAGTTGCTATCAATGTAGGTAGATTAGGCATTTTAGGAAGTTTTGCCCTTAGTCGAATGGCACATCTAGTGCGTCTGGTTTGAGGCAAACACAGACCCATCAGCCAGCTTAGTTAGTTCAGGCGTTGATGGCCAATTAGGAAGCCACTTCGACTCAGTCAGTTCTTCAGGCCTCTTCTCCGACGGGTGAGCAAATTGATCAAAGGCCTCCAGGGCTTGTGTATGATGTTACCATGCTGGAGCAGTTGTTGATACCTCCTATTGTGAGAGGTAACTTTTTGCGATTCAATTTCTTAGGCAATTTGTTGATTGATACGAATGCATCTTATTCATTCATTTTGTTTTCTTTTGCATCTGCTTTGGGGTTGGAGTTTGATTAGTTGGAGTCTCCTTCGTTTGTTGAGATACTTGTTGGGGGTAGAGTGGCATTGGGTCGAGTATGCCGCTCCTATGAGATTGAGGTCGTAGATTGTCAACTCTCTTTTGATTTTGTTGTTCTTGATGTGCATGCTTTTGATGTGATTCTAGGTATAGATTGGTTGACTTTTTTTAGGCTTTGATAGATTGCCATAGTAGGAGGGTGTCGATGTGTACACCATCAAGAAAGTGTTTCTACTTTTTGTGTGACTAGGGTGATAGTTTTATTTCTCTATTGTATGGCCTTAAAGGTCGAGGAGAGTTGAGTTTCCTTTTTGCCATCTCGATAGCCGTTGAAGGTAGTATGGTTCAGGGTGACTCACTAAGAGTAAATCAAGAGTATTCGGATGTCTTTTCGGAGGATCTTACCGATGTGGATATGGTCAATAATATGATGAAGTTTGAGGGTTATGTGTTGATTCCTTCGATAGATTTTGACTCCAATCGGTTGAGGGGCAGAGGTATTTTTTTTTTTTTTTGGTTGAAGTGTGTTGTTGTTTGTTGAAGTGTGGATTGTTCATCTTTAATAGGGTATTGACAATCTATTACACTCATTGATAGGCACACTTTGGTCAATGTTCTGATTAAATATGTGTAGTTGACATTGTAATGGTTATGTGTTTTGATATGTTCGATGTGTGGAGTGGTGTGTATGGGTTCAAGGGTTGGGTTGGGGGTATTTGGATTTGGTTATTAATTTGATGTTGAATATAAACCACATCGTAGGGTGACAATTGTACATTGGAACCTGGATGATAGTGTTACGATGCATGTCACATTTAATGTGTAACGGTAATCCACATACACCATGTAGTATATGACAATTGTGTGTTTATTCGGTTTTATATATGTTTGAATGTGTATCGTGTCTTTGTTGTAATTAGTGTTTACATACATGTCACAGTATGTTGCACAAAATATTTGGGGAATTGGGTTTGTAATTGAATGTGGATTGAATCCCATTGCTCGATGTCGATTGAATGTGGACATTTATGATGTCACGTTATTCTTTTACAACAGTACATCCATGCCAATATTGTGCTCCCATTTGATTGTAAAACACATATGTAGCATGCCAAGTCGCATGGCAATACATTGTGACCACACGGCACAACCAAATCACACACGTCTTCAATGTAAGCTCACATTTACGTTGGGTTGTTTAGTGTTGATACAAAAAATGCATTGGTTTACGTGACTCTATCACATTCCATTTTTAAATGTCACATACACATTGTCAACCGTTACGAACCCACATTAGTTGACATCAAGTCACTAACATGTCACACACGCATTCCAAAGTGTACTTAAATGTACATTGCACTTCGTAATCTACCACCAATGATTGGTCTAAATCCGAGCTCACATTAACGTTGGGCTGCTTATTTTGGATCCCAAGATGATCCCTAATGTGTCGCACCCCCTGCGGAGTTCAATTTCGCAATGGATTCAATTCATGTGACTCTGTCACATTCCATTTTCAAAAGTCACGTCCACATTGTCAGCGAGATTTGAGGGTATAAATTTGAGGATTCCCATTCTCACATTCCATTTTTCCACATTGAATTCAATGTTCGCATCACGTCACATTGACTTCATAAGTGTGTACACTTTTATATTGCGCTTCATAGTCTAAAACCAACGATTGGTGGACGTTCGGACTGCGTAATTGTCTCATTTCCCAATTAGGCTACGCACATGAGAATGTAACTTTCACATCCAATGTGAGCTCACATTTATCTTAGGGCTGTTTATATTTGATATGAAAAATGGATCTGTTTCTCTTTCAAACTATCCCAATAAACTTGATGCGACGGCTGCTAACATGTAAATCTATCACATTCCATTTATGTTTCAAAATAAATCAGGTTGATGTGAGACATAAGATATCATTTATATTTTGTTTCCTAAAATGTAGCTTCACCAAAGGTCTGATCACCAAATACAAACATTAATTTTGAAATTTAAATTTCTAACCACATAGATATAATCACAATTTATGGTAACATTAGATTTTTCATATGTGGAACGCCAAGTTTGAAATTGAAATTCCCAACCATATAGATATGATAACAATTTATGGTAATATTAAATTTTCCATATATGGTATTGCTATTAATTAAATTATTAAATAATAATATTGGGGGTAAATGTGTCAATAATAAACCCACAAAACTTATAGGAATATAAATTTTTTCACGAAATTATATAATACAAGTCTTTTAAAAAGAATTTATAAATAATTTTCCCAAATAACTTTTACAAAATTAAAGCAAACAAATTTGGTAATATTATTTGAATTTTTATCATCCTTGTAATCTTATCATTATGTGTATTTATCCTGATCACATAATTAGTATAAATAGAATGGAACAGTGACAATATATATACAAAAAAAACATATTCTTGAACTTTATTAAATATACAGCAGGTTGCTTCAAGTAAATGTGTAAAAAAAAGTAAAGATGTTATGTGACTCAAAAAGTTAAAAAGCTAAAAAATTGAATTTTAACCAATTTGTTAAAATGGGTCTCAATAACCTCAGTCTTAAAATATATTAGTTTCTTATTTTATTTTTTTATTATTTTAAAATATTAATTATTTTTAAAAAATTTTAAATTAAAATAATATAAATTTTTTATTTTTGTCCTTTTAAATTTATATACAAAAAATATAATTTTGACAATTAATATTTTTAAAAAAAATCAAAAGATAATATTAAAAAGTTAATATCTCCCTCCACCCCCCCAAAAAAAAAAAAATAAATAAATAAATAAATAAAAATAAAAACAAATGTGTGGTGATGTTTAGCATGACTCCTATCCTAAGAAATTCTATAAAAGGAGAACTTTAGGTAGGCAATGTACTCCTCAATTGGAAACTATACCTTTTTTCATTCAAAAAAACATATATTATAATTGTTGAAGCAAGAAATAATGTTGTTATTACATCTCTTATATTTCTACTTTTTTCCATTATTCCTCTTGGTACACTTCCTCTTCCTATGCTTTTCCAACAGACCACAAAAACTTGCCACCACCTTCTCCTCCAAAGCTCCCAATTGTTGGGAATCTCCACCAACTGGGCTTGTTCTCTCACCGCTCTCTCCGATCATTGGCTAAAAAATATGGACCCCTTATGCAACTTCACTTCGGCAGTGTTCCAGTCCTTGTTGTCTCCTCGGCCGTTGCAGCTCGCGAAATCATGAAAACCCATGATCTCGCCTTTTCAAGCAGACCTAAAACAATTAATGGTAGCAAAATTGTTTATGACTGCAAGGACGTCGCTCTTAGTCCCTATGGCGAGTATTGGGGGCAGGTAATAAGCATTTGTGTCGTCCACCATCTTAGTAATAGGATGGTACAGTCCTTTCGAAACGTTAGGGAAGAAGAAACCGCCCTTATGATTGAAAAAATCAAAAACTCTTCTTCTTCGTCTTTGTCTTCGTCTTCGTCTTCATTGGCAAACTTGACCGACATGTTTGTGACACTTACAAATAATATAGTGTGTAGGGTTGCGTTGGGGAGGAAATACAGTGGAACGAAAGGAGGGAGGAGGTTTAAGGAACTCCTCGCAACACTTACGGAATTGATCGGTGTTTTCGATGTAGGGGATTATATCCCATGGCTTGTTTGGATGAATCGAATCAATGGTTTGGATGCCAAAGTGGAGAATGTTTCTAAAGAGATGAATCAATTTCTTGAGGGAGTAGTGGAAGAACATGTTGATAGAAGCAAAAGAGACGACAGTTATAGTGCGAATATTGGAAATGAAAACAAACATGACTTTGTGGATCTTCTACTTCAAATCCAACTAGAGAATACATCTGGCTCTCTTGTTCATAGAGATACCATCAAAGCTCTCATCTTGGTAAAGTTACTTTTTGTTTTCTTATTTAATGCTAATTAATTCTTGTTTATTTGTATTAGTTAATTTTTTGAAAATTCAAAATTATAAACCTTACTTATTATACAAATTATAAAAATTAAAAGCCAATAAAATTATATCACATCATCCGTTAGTACACTAATTAATAAACCAATTGGTTCATATAGCTTTATTGTAATTTTTAAAACACAATTTAGGGATTTAACGATGATAATTAAACAAGTTGTTGGACATCGAGAAGGGCATAGGGATGCCCTTCCCTACTCTGTGTCATTGTTTTTCCTATACTCTTCTCGTCATTGATTTTGGTAATATGATTATATGTAATACATATATAACAATACTACAAAACTCGGCAAAAATACTTAGAAAATTATTCATAAAAATCGATCAATGGTCTACATTCATTGTGAGTGTGACCTACATCCTATTAACTTTAGATTAATTCTACAGATACTAACAATCTTATCAAAATATTTACTATAACATACAATAAGTCAAATATGATTGGTTGTAAAATATATATATATATATATATATATACGGACACATGTCCGGATCACTGTACAACAAGGGTAAGCCTGGGATCACTATATCTAATAATAATTAGACATATATATTTTTAATAAGATTTTAATAAATAATTTATTACATATAACATTGCTTTAACTTTAAATCTTCACATTTTTTTAAAAATAAAATTCAAAATAAATTTTCATAATTCATAATATTTTTCATAAATATAAGATAAGACACATAGAGTGGGGTAGATTATTTGTGTTCTTGGAGAAAGGTCTCAATTTTATTACTTTTGTTGTATTTATTTCTTGGACGGTCTTTCTTTGATCTCCTGATTTTAAATTCTTTTAACCACATTTCAACTCTATGGTTGATTTGAAATTTCGAATTACAAAAGTCATTCTCATGCTCATGAAAGTGCTGACATGTATCTAAACGGCGGATTTGTCAGCCCCTTTCATGCTCATTTACAAGCTCACCTTTGCTTCTGCTCCAACCCCGTTCCGAGTAAAATTTTTTAATTTCATCCCTGCTATATCCAGCTATATTTTAAATAGTTAAAAAATTTGAGAATCATTTAAATTCTTAAAACACTAAATAATTTATTTTATTTTCATATATATATATATATATAAATAGTGAGACTTTTAGGATTATTATTTACTTATATTTAACTAGAATTAAACTTTTAGTATTCATTTCTTATATCTAATTATATTATATATATACATATATATGGGGATGTAAATTTTGGAAATACTCCCCGGATCCAAACGAGCCTGAAAGATCCTTGCAATGTTACCTGAAACAGATAAACAACTCCAGCCAGTGGTGCCAGAATTAGCATTTTGACGGTGTAAATACCCCATTTTGACCGCCTTTATGACTTGAGCGTTTTATTCCGAACACCTGATGATGAAACATTACGCTGTGCAATCTTTTAAATCTTCAGCAAAGGAATTTAGATTCGAACTCTAATCCCAACTTTATACCCCATTTTGACCAAAATATTTTTGTCACGAGCTAAACCCGCCTCTAAAAGTTTGGTCCATGACCGGCCTATACTTAGGCCTCAAAACAAAATTTCACAATATTAAAATCATATTAGGGTCTAGAGTGGAAGCACCAAAAAAAAAAAAAAGGTCCACTGAGCTTGTGCATAACTGACGACTAAAAGAACTAAAACATTTAACTACACTTTCCATATTTACATATACAATAACAAGACTTATACAAATCTCACACACATACATAAATTCAATAAAATACAAAATTCTAACAATACAAGGTTAAAGCCTTGACACAGAGACACATCTTGGGTGGCTTGACATAGCAGGTTGACAAAAGAACTTATGAGGTGGACCTAAGGTTGGTTTCTGGGTTGATCACCTACATACATATAAAATACGGAGTGAGCGAAACTCAATGAGTAACAATAAAGTAAAGAGAATCAAGTGAATAATCTAGATTTAAAAGAAGTATAGCACAATACTCTTCCAAAATTATATCATTCACAACGTTATTCATAATCATATTTACAAAATGGCCTTAAGCCCACCATGTAACAAAACGGCATCAAGCCCAATCATATATCAAAACGACATTAGGTCCAAACGTATCATATTGTATTACTGTATCTGATCATAGAGTAAATGGAATATCGACATGTCTCCACCTCTCCTTGGACCCAATTCATGTATGTATAGACCTAAGAGGTGGCTCGTACGGACCCTAGGGGTGGCTCCCACTGTAGCACTTAGTTCTATAAAACACTTTGTTCCATACCAGAAATCAATAGGACATAAAGACCGAGCAATTCATATTGTGTCATAGCATAAACAAAACGGATAAACGGAACGGCCTTAGGCCCACCACATCATATTGTAAATAATTTACATTTCATATCCATATTCCATATCATAGGCCTTGTTAACTCATTCATTCGCATAAAACATAATTTTAGAACATCACAACAGTTATGTATCAAAATAAATATAAATAAACATTTCTTTACAATATTTTATTACTCACATTGACAGCTTCTGGTAGCAGTTGGGCGATGTCCTTGTCTTGACCTACAAATTACATAGCACAACATATAGAACATAGAATTATTCTCTTGATCAAAGTCACTTTTCTTAATCTTTGCTTAATCAAATAAACCGAACCCTTACTTTGCCTTAACCAATTATTTATGCTGGTTCTAAGCTCATTAGTCCTCAATGGGTCATAATTCATATCAAGGAAACTATAAAGAAACGGAAGGAAATTGGGTTAGGAGAAGAAATGACATAAAACGAGTAGACAGAAAGTGAACACCCTTCACTAATTTGAACATATCCCTTTATATACTTAGAATTTGGGTGTGAGACTACCACCATCAGAACCTAGACTTCTAAGGCTTGAATTTAGGCTCAAGAATCACTTAAAATGAAGTTCGGATGAGAGAGATATGCTTATTTGAAGTTGGGCTAAAACAGAGAGGCCCTACACCTGCGGGAAATAAGGTCGCACGTATGGGACAATGTGCTTTATTTCAGAATCAATTTAGGTGCTAGAAGTGGACTGTCGCATGTGCAGGAAGCCCCGCCGCACGTACGGCTATGGGCAAAATCTGCTGTCTGAAAATTTCTGTTGATTCTAACACTTGTTTTTCCATTTTCCAAGCTAGATTTCAACTCAAATCACTCAAAATCATGTAAAACTAATGGAAAACATGAGATTATGATTGTTTTCGAAATCAAAACATTAAACTTTTGAAAACTTCTTCTTCCATATTCACATAGATCTTCATTTCATATGTAATTAACCATACAAAACCTTAAGATTAAGGTTCACTTCTCATAATCAACTTCAAGATAAGCAAAAATAATGAAATTGACTCTTAAATCAAGCAAGTCAAAGGAATCAATGTTCAATTCCGTGAAGAGAGCTCATTTAAGCTTGTACTTCAAAACCCTAACTCAATTAGGTGTATAATCTTCATCTTGAGTCATGAATTCAAACAAATAATAGGTTAGTCCCAAGAAGTTAAGTTGATTTCTACATAACTCCATTCAAATCCTTGCTTTTCTCATAAATCTCTTCAAGTTCCTCTTCTTTAATTTTGTCTTCAACTTCCAAGGATGATGAGCTCTCTCTCATTCTCTAGAAGCTTTCTCTCTCTTTCCCCCCCCTCTCCCTTTCCCCCCCCCCCCTCTCTCTCTCTCTCTCTCGGTTCTTCTCCAGAACCCCCTCTTCCAAATATCTCTCTCTCTCTTCTCTTCCTTTTTGTTGAGCCAAGCAAGGCTCATATATATATATATATATAATATTTAATAAAAAACCAACTTAATTCGTTCTGAATTAGATTTTTACGAAACTTCAAATTAAATCCTAAAAATCATGCTAATTATAATTATGTACTCCATTTTGGTTTCTGAAGCCTCTAAAGCCTTCAATTTGCAGTGTAAAGTTAACCACCCAAACACACCTTAACGAATCAGACGAAATAAATTTTCAATTAACTTTCCCAAATTGCTCTAAAAACTCTCATTACTATATCAACGTACTTAATTTCGGTTTCTGAACACACGAAAGTCGACAATTTCATTTTCAAAGTCGTAACTCAACAAACAATTCCTTAATTCAAACAGATATAATTAAATTAAAACACATTAACCCATAATTAAATAAAGATAATTTCTAATACGTATTTTGGGGTCATTACATTCTCCCCACCTTAAGATGTTTGGTCCTCCAAACTTGATTTATCCTGTCACAAGTCCAGTTCATAAATCTCAGTCTCCTACAATAGTCCAGTTTCGCCTCAAATATACAACTTCCCTCAATCATTTAACAGTTCACAATCCTAAGCGGTCAATCTCAATAAAGTTTGTTCCTAGAATCACAATTAATTCGTCATTTATTGGCCAATTGGTAACCCAATTGATAATAATACTCAGTAACATCAAAACATCATCTTATTATGCACAACCCTCGTACATTTCAATTTATTGATCCATAAGTAATAGTCTAATGCTCTTCAAGTATTTGTTCCCATGCAAATCATAATTCAAATTCATTAGTGCCACAAACAGTCTCAAATATTATAACTCTTTGAAGAATAAAGAAATATTCACTACTCAATCGTGCTCCCGATGACACATTCATCCTACAACAATTGAACCAAAATGAACAAATGGGTTTTGAATCAATAACTTTATGGCTCTTTGCTCACTAATGATTTAGGTATTCACAATATTTGGGTAATTCAAAGCATCCCCAGCCTATTTATTTTCATAATGCATGGGATAAATGTGGTGTAAATTGTCCAACAACCAAATTTAGGTTCAAGTCCTCTTCCCTCTACTCAATATATATATACTTATCGATTACATCTACCACAAAATTTCCTTTCAAAGTCCTTGTCAATTTCATACTTAACTTTTCTACGTAACATTTCTTACCATTTGATTTTCTTATCACTAAAGTTTATCTTGTCATCATATCTGTATAGGTTG